GCCTAAGCCCAAATCCAAATTTGACCTGAGGCTTTAATGATTGCTTTATTGATTGCTCTTGTGACCTGACGGGTCAACTCTAGCGTTGGTATATTCTAATAGAAAATTTCATGACCTCCTCACCCCCAACCCCGACCACCACGCTTACCCTCATGGCCATTTCCATCTGTTTTTGAAGTGTTCGATTATGTTACAAGTCGCGCGCTCAATTCCACCCACTCTGTCCCTAAACGGCCATTCTAAAGAACCACCAAATCCTTACTCCTTCAACATTATCCACCGCTCTTTCTTGCAGTTTCGCCAAGATCGTCAAAAATCCGTGAAAACGGCTCCCCCCGTTATCGCGACCCCATAGTTTCCACAAAACGACTTTCTCAACCTATCAACCCTTTTGACCTTTTAATCGTCGACAACACCAAGACGACCCTGACCGTTGGTATTTATACCAACAGGTGGTTGACCTTAGTAGAATCTCGGATTGAGCCCTGACTAGGTCAAATATGTCTTCCATAAGGGGTGCTTGGCCAATATCAGACTTGGCTCGACTCTTAGGATGCACTTTTTCTGGCTGTTCATCGTTGGGCAGAATGGCCACATTGCATTCAAGTGCCATCTGGGGCAGTGGAAGTTGAACGCATAACGTAGCACAAAAGGGAGTGAACAAAGCTGTAGGCCTTGCACTTTCTCTAGAAATAAGTGCATGCAATAAAATTCAGATTCTGAGATTTCAAAAAATCTGCCGAATAATGAATGTGTTGTTTGAAAAGCCATTAGGCAAATCCTGTTGCCTGTCTAATATAAAAAGAAAAAATGTTAATAAACTAAGACACTTTTTATGAAAGCCTATCCATTTCATCTGATCACGGGCAGCTGCTATTTCGAGTATTTTTACTCAGATCCTTCTCATGAATCGAAGTTTTTCAAGTCTTTTTCTCAAAAAATCCCAAAATCAAGGTCTTCTGAATTGAAACGTGCAGTTTGAAGGAATGTGAGCAAAATTTTGGTACAACATTTCCCACTGACAATGAATGTCAAGCGACCATGAATCACTCACCAATACCTTAAGTGTTCGTCACTGTTCTTGTTTTTCATCATGTTAAAGCCCAACGCTTCGCTCATCATTCCAAGCGTGCGGAGCCCTGCCCATTCTTCTGCATCTTCAGAAGGAATTCCGTCCGTAGTATGGCATTGTTTTGTTTTTTGCTAATTCCTTCCTTGTAATTTAATAAAGTGGCGAGTCAGCTGATTGTCATATAACTTTCGTTTGACATTCGCTAAGTGTTGTGTCTACGAGAGAAAGCGCTGTTTCTCTATTGCTATTCCTGTACGTCTCCTACAATGGTCGGTCGACGCAGATTTTCATTACAGGTTCATATGAGCACTGGGGGTAAAATCAAAGTCGATGAACATTACCCTACAGGTAAGCCAGTTATTTCCATTCATATCTCTTTACTCAAATACAAACGGCGGTTAACTACGAACTCTTTGGTTTGGCTGTTTTGGGTGAATGCAGGCCTTACATCAGGGTCAACCGTGCGTTCGAACTGTTCGAACGAGAGGTCGCATTTGTGGTTGGTTTTGGTGAGCTGGGTAGGGTCGCATTCAGGGGTTGAGTGGGATTTGTAGTTTGTTGGGTGAATGGTTTTTTGAGGGATTTTTGGATGTAGTTGGCAGCGACGTAAGCAAACCAGCCCTTTTGGCGCTTCGGCTGGGACCGTATGCTGAATGTTGGGGAGGGGATGGAGTCCCCGACGGTGGACGGACCACTTCAACTCGGTCCTTTG